ATCATAATGTTACCCACAAGAGAGAATTTAGCTAATAAAATCATAAATGTGTCAAAAAACGTTTGACAATATTTGGGGAAAAATTTATAGAGATTTTGAGTTGAAATTCCATAAAGTTCTGCGAGAAATTTCCCTTAGTGTTGCAGCAACATGTTGCTGGCTTGTTTATCACATTATTTAAAAGAAAATTAAAAGTCAAATATCTTTTAAAAGCCAAATTGATTAAAAAACTGAAAATATTTAAAGAAAATCATAAAAGTTCGGTTTATAAATGTTTTAATTTATGTTTCTGAACATTTTTAAAATGTGCAATATTGCAATATTTTCTTAATAAAATTTTTCTAAAAAAGAAACAAGGAAAGTATTCAAAAATTCCTTGAAATACATGAAATATATTTTTCCGATATATCCCATTTAAAAATACCTTGAAATGACATTATTGTTGCCGCAACATGTTGCTACAACACACAATTGGCACATTTCTCTTAAAAAAAGCAGGAGAGTTTGCAATTCAAATATTTTCGATATTGTTGTAATTTAAATAACCTGATATTTGATAAAATTGTCTACCTTTCGTAATACTGAAACATTGCAGAAAATGTTCCATAAAACTTTCGCAACATGTTGCCAGGATATTTGTGTGTGAAATATTAAAAAACGCAAATCCAGGAAAGTAAAGTGACTCAAAATATTTTACAAAAAAATATGAGCAAATTCTTTTTCTAACTCCCATTTAAATATTGCCGAAATCTTTACCAAAATGTTGCCGCAACATGTTGCTGTAATATATATTTCCGCTTTCCTCCACAACAACTTTAAATTACAATTTATTCCTTTTCCTTCTTCTCATGAGCAAAATCTCCTTTTAAAATTAAACTCCCAATTTCCTGAAAACTTTCCACAATGTTGCCGCAACATGTTGCGGTATTATTTATTTAAGATTACCCTCCAGAACCATTTTCAATTGTAATTTTTCTGCCTTTATCTCTCGTCATGAATAAAATCTCCTCTCAAAACTGTATTGCAAACATTCCTGAAATCTTTCCCATAATGTTGCCGCAACATGTTGCCGTAGCATTAATTTAAGTCTTTCCTCCAGAACCACAATTTTCAATTACATTTTTCTCTGCCTCTATCTCCTCATGGAATTTCCTGTTTCCTGTATTTCTTTCTTAATTTCATGCAATTTGTTCTGGACTCTCTGGGCCGGGTTGTTTTGATTTTTTTCCTTTTCCTTCTTCTTTATTTTTCCTTAAAATATTTTTCTATGCCAACAACGCCAATGTTCACAAAACTTCAAATGCAAAAAATTAGCATAACAACTTTATAGTTTAACTGCTTTTAGACAATCTTGCTTAAAGACTTTTGCCGGGGTTTTGTGCTGCAGCGCAAACATTAGTTGTGATAGGTTGTAGGAAAAAAAGAACCTTTTTGGAGTATTTAAGTCATGGCAATTCGGGGGAGAAAGGAAGAGAGAGAGTGGCGAGGAGGCATGAGAGGTTATACATCTAAATATATGTAAGAAGAAGCAGAGAGGAACAACCAGAAAAAAATACAGACAAACAGCAGGCAGGCTGGCACAGCCAAATGACAAATATCTGAGCCGCGACTTTAACCCACAAAACTTGAACAATAAACAACTTGCAGCCGCCGTCATAGTAGCAACAGCAACAACAACAACAATGACGACAATATTGACAAAAAACCGTACCCGTCCGTAGTGGATTTTTTTTTTGGTTTTTGTTAACTGCACATGGCAGTTAATGCTGCTGCTGACATTTTTTTGCCTCCTTTGCAATTGTTGTTTTCATTGCTGGCTTGGTCTTCTGCTAGAGCAGCGTGTATCTGGCTGGCTGACAGGCTGGAGGTTTTTTCAGCCTCTGAAAATGCATGTATGTGAAATGAAGTCTTTTGCTAATCTTGTGTATGTATCTGGAGGACAATTTTTTTTGTTTTTTGGTTGCTCGGTGTGCCATTTCATTTCATTCTTGGTCTGCCTGCCACTTTGCCGGTTGTTGTAGTTTCAAGCTGGTTTTATATATGCGGCAGCGGATATTGAGAAAGGTTTTGCTGCTGCCGTTTTTTGCTGGCCTTCTTTCTGATGAATCAAACAATAGCAGTAAAAATGGGATTTTTCCCCCGCTTTTGGCATAACAAAACCTTAACTCTTTTTCCTTCGTTTTTTTGTTGTTGTCATTTTGAGCGAGATTAATATGTGAATGCGGGGATTGTCTCGTTTTCCAGAGACACACATACATACAGTAATATTGCAGGTGGTTTGAATGTCAAATGCAGATAATAGCGGGATGCCAAGCAAAAATGTTTTTTTTCATGAAATTCTCCCCCCTCTGAACAAAATATGAGTTATCCCCCTGTACCTTTTTTTCCGGGCAGCCACAACAAAACAGATTTTAATCATTAACACTTGTTTTTTCAAGGGCTCTTCTCTTTTTTCTGCTCCAAAATACAAAAAAAAAAAAAAAAAAAACGGCTACGAGGGGGGATTTCAGTTGTTGACATTTTACATCAATGTGTCAATTGCTGCTTAAGACATACAAACACAAACAAGCAAAGGTACCACCAGCAGATCTCTGGCAAATGATAATGGCCAAAACGCCCAAACAACGTCACATTACTCATTCAAAGCCCGAGACGAGAGACGGGAATCAATACAACCGGTGATGAATCTCTAAATGCCAGGCAATCCTGTGTGAGATTTCGTGTTGAATGACAACGCCTTTTGACAAAATACTCAAAAACACAACAATCTTAGTATTTAACGGCAACAACTACAACAATAAACTTGTATATGCAGTGTGAACTCTCAAGTTGAAAAGTTTTGTATTTTATAAAATGATAAAAATCTTAACAATCATCAATGTACGCTCGCTCGTTCGTTCGCTCGTCTTTTTTTTTTTGCGCTTATTCTTTTCTTTCTTTGCAAGAGTACTACAACTTGCAATGCCAGCAATACCAACAACAACAAGAAGAGTACATATATTGTTGTATTTCGCATGGGAAGGTAGTCAGCTAGCTAGCTGATGGACTCTGACTTGGCGGCTATAGACGTGGTTAACATTGTCAAGTTAAAAAGTTTTTAATTTCTCGGTGTTGTTGTTACTTTTCTGTGCAGTTCTACTAAACGTTGCCTTAATAAAGTGGCGTCAAAGAAGTGTTAGGGTTTTTGTTGTTTTTGGCAGGCAGCAACAACAACACCGCCACGAACAACAAGCCATTATCCATCTACGTAGTTTTTTAAAACCGTTTAAAAAACCTTTTTCTATATATTTATATATGGATAGATAGATATATTCGTCAGTTCGCTCGTTCGTCAGTCAGTCAGTTTGTCTGTTTATAAACAAAACAAATCATTTTGTACATTTCGTATGCAAAAAACGTTAAGACGCTTGAAGTTAAGGCTGTTATTACAAGGTCAAGCTTATTAGTGTTGTGTTGTTGCTGCAGCAGCAAAGCCAGCAATTGCCATGGTGTTGGTGGTGTAGGAGACAAACTAAATGTATGTACGTTGATGGGACAACGATTGTAGCGATATGCCAATGGCTCTGGTTGTTGTTTCTGTTTTTTTTTTTTTTTTTGATGGTGGTGATGATTTTTGTTCATGATAAGTATTAATTTTTTTCTTTTTGGTTTCGTCGTTCATTTTTTGTTTTCTGTGTGTGATAAATACACGTTTTCTGTGTGCCCATAGTTGTTGGTATTTTGTTTGTTTCGGCTGTTATGGGTGACAAGAATTCCATTTTGATTTGGTGTGTGGGAATATTTTTCGTTTCTGGCATTTTGTTTTTCAAAACACACATACATAGTTTTACATACTTTCGCAGCAGGGGAAAGCCCAGGCTTTTTTTCCTCTTGAGAAACTAAGGGGATTGAAGTTTTAGGAGGAAAGAGAAGCAAATTTGTATCAGGATGTTGCTAAGCCGAATTTATAATGTTAGTTGGTAGAAACTTTACAAAAATTAAAAAAATTATACTCTAGCGATTTCTTATTTCCAAAAGAAGTCATTAGCAACATGTTGCTAAATCCCATTTGTTTTGAAAAAAATCCAGAACTTGCATTCCAAAGACTTAATTTAAAATGCACTTCGTTTTTTCACATATTCTACCAATAATGTTTTTGCAACATGCTGCTAGACTCAAAAGAATGTAGCACTTTCATTATCAACATGTTGCTAACATTTAATTTTGTTATTATTTTAAAAAGAATATTATTGTAATTTATATATGCAAAAATCTCATTTTGTCAAAAATAATACAATTTATTTATTTTAAAAATAAGATCTCTGCAACATGTTGCCAAAGTTGATCCTTCGTAAATTGAACTAAACGTGATTTTTATTCCAATTATTGTATTCATTTTTAAGTCTTCATTTTTGTATATTTAACAAACAATCTTGTCAAGCTTTCAAAGCATAAGCACCTGCAACATGTTGCTAAACTTTAACTTAAAATCTAATTCACAAAATTACTCTTATATTATTTTTTAACAATTTCTCTTATATTAAACCTCTATTTCCTTAAAGGCTTTAAGAGCATATTCTTAAAAATGCTATAAATATAAAAATTAATATCCCTGCAACATGTTGCCAAAGTAGAGCTTTAGAAAATTAAATAAGATGTGATGCTTTTAAAATGTAAGCTTATTATTTCTGATCGCAAAGAGTTCTAAGATAATTTTATAAATAAACAAATGTTGAGAAGTTTTCCGCAACATGTTAACATCCCTGCAACATGTTGCCAAAGTAGGGCAATAAAAAATTGAAAAAAAATTTGATGCTTTTAAAATTTAAGTTTAGCATTTCTGATCGCAAAGAGTTCTAACGTAATTTTCAAATAAACAAATGTTGAAAACTTTCCCGCAACATGTTGCTGCAACTTTCACACAATAATTTTCCTGGAAGCTTTTTTTGAAATAATTTCCATTTTTTTTCTATTTTTACAAAATCTAATAATTATTTTTATTTTTTTTCTTCAATTTCCAGTATGACGATGGCCTGCACGGCTATGGTATGGATTCGGGTGCTGCAGCAGCTGCCATGTATGATCCACATGTTGGTCATCGGCCGCCTGGATTACAAGGCCTACCATCACATCATTCACCACACATGACACATGCTGCTGCAGCAGCGGCCACAGTTGGCATGCATGGCTACCATACAGCTGGTGCGGCTGGTGGCCATGGTACACCTAGTCATGTATCACCGGTTGCTAATCATTTAATGGGTGCAATACCCGAAGTACATAAACGTGATAAGGATGCTATATATGAGTAAGTAAAGACAATTTTTAATAAATAAAAATATATTTGAATAATTATTTGAAACAAGAGAGAACAGTAAAAAAATTGAGAGAGAGAGAGAGAGAATCACTAATTAAATTAAAATCTATTATTAATTTAAGAAATAGGCCTAGAATAAAAATTGCACGCTCGTGTGACTTTGTGTTAGATACCTTTTGTCACTCTTTCTCTCCCTCTCTCTGCCTTAGAATGAAGCACATTACCTTATTTCCTGCGTGTGGTTCTTCTTTGCCTTATTTAATTAAGCTATTTGTGAGCCTTGTAGGCGTTTTTGTTGATCTTTTATAATTTTCAAAAATTTTTTGTGCGCACACACGCCTCGAAAATTAATACCCTGGCCAAATTAGGGGTTACCCTTAAACGTTGCCATTGGAGAAATTGTAATAGAAATTTATTGGCCGAAAAAAAAGAAGCACAAAACACGGAAAGAAGGAGAGGTGCTAATTTTGTGGTGTTGGGCATTTCAATGCCTTTCAAACACCACCCCAAGTCCTCTCTCTTTGTACGTGTGTGTTTGCACACATCAATCATAATTCTGGCTTGCTTGCTTCTCCTCCAGTTTTTTTTATAGGAATTCCCAAGGAGCTAGTAATTAATCTGTTATTATAAGAAAATAAACACCAGTGTATTGGAAAATGAAAAGAATAAAAAAAAATCCATTTCACCCCTTTTTTCCATGTCCATGTTGTGGTTGTTGTCTGTATGCATTCATTTAACAAAATATGATTATTATTTGTATATTAATTTAAACCACTTGGCAAACATCTTAAAGAGTGTTAACAACTTGTCAGTTATTATTGACATACAATGACATATTTGTCATTTTTTTGTTGAAATGAAATCCCAAAGACCGGGAGATCGATGGGTATACAATTGATGACTAACATGATCACCACAAAAAATAGAGGAGGGAATGAGGAAACAAATGAATTACAATTATTTTTGATTTCAATGGGAATAATTCTCATTTACTTGGGTTATGGCCAAACTCCAGAATTCTCCTGGCAATTATGTAATTTCCTCTCTTCCCTTCCTCACCCTTTGTTTTAGTTATTATCAATTAACACTTTTGATCATTAAAAACTGCACTGCGAAAAAAAAAAAAAACCTTAGCAAGGCATTTGCAGTCTTTTTTTGCCCTACTGACTGCCTCTGCTTTATTGTCCCAATCATAAAACTTAATTATTACGGAAGAATTCAAACAACCTGTGAGATAACAAAATAACTTACAACATTTAACAGAAGTCACTGTATAAGCATTTAAGTTTGTTGATTTTTTCTGTTTTTGCTTGAGTGGCTGGCTGGCTCACTGGATGGATGGCTGACTGACTGGCCTGCTTCATAACATGCTCTTTTTCATTATTAAGAACTTAACACCTTTTTTGTGGAGTTTATTTTTATTTTTCTTTTTTTTTTTGCCACCAGCCAGGCAATATTTACCTTTAAGTTGCAGTCTCCTGGGTAAAAAAGGTAAATATCACACTTCAAATAAGTTGTGGTGGCTTGGTGCATTAGGCCAAACCTAGAACCATGGAGAGGGGGAGAGGGAGAAAGGAAAAACATAATTACCCATAAAAGGTCCCTAACAAAGTGACAAGTGTAGGGTAGAAATAAACTACAAATTGACAGTCATTTCATTTACGAAAAAGAGAGGGAGGGGGAGGGGAAACACTTCAACAACCCACCAAAAAATGGTTGGTAGTAATTTTAACATTTAAATGATTAACATAAAGTGATATTAGAAGTAAAATGAAATAAAAACTCCTAAAGGGAAACACTAAAAGACCATTTGAAATACTAATTGAAAAATTATAGAGGGCAGACATTTCTTTTTAGGGGTAACAAAAAACGACACTCAACTCAATTCAGGTGCAATTTGTAGAACTTTGCTAAGACAGCCACCAAAAAAAAAGAAAAAACCGGAAAGTGAGCAAACATAAATGGTCAGTTTTGCTGGCAGATGTTTTAGTTTTTTTTCCCTACTACGTTTCTTTTTTTTTTTTGGTCATGAATACATGAATTATAATAACACACTGCCGCAAATTTGCATATGTCTAGTTGCAAGGAAAACTGAAAACAAAAATCATTTATCATTTCTGATACAAAAAAAGAAAAAAATACAAAACCACATAAAAAAATTCTAATAAAACAAAACAATTTGTCATTTTCAATTGTTAAATCGACACACACACACAAACTCATATAAATCCTGTAAGATTTGCTTGGCATGTGAAGCCCCCTCTTAAATGTGATGGCAGCACCATCATCACAACAACAACAATAACAAACAGAAAAACCTATCAACAAATATGTCCAAACTGTCAACAATGACATTGCAAATGTTGAAAAAACAGCAAAAATCCCAAGATGAGCAGAACCAATCTCTTTGGCTCTCTCACTCTCTGTCCCTCTCTCTCCCGCCAGAGATGACATTTTAAGAGCAAAAAAATTGCTCGATTTTGTTGTATATTATTTTGGAAAGCCAAACAATGAAATTTTGACAGTTAAAAAGATGGTAATAAATTATCAATGAAACCCCAACAACAATGGCAGGGAAGCAACAACCATAGATTGCCGGCCAGCCAGACACATTATAGAAGAGAACAGCCATGAAGAAGACACCAGAGAAAGAGAGTGTCTGTTTATGCCAATGTTTACATACGGTAGTCTTTTATAAAATACCAGCAACAACAACAACGAGAACCACAACAATATGAGCAAAGATTTATTACAATTTCGTGCATTTAAAACAGGCCTCCTTGTCAAAACACTTTTACACATTTGCTGGTTGTTGCTGCTGCTGCCGGTTTTTTTGTTGCTGGCAGCCAGCTACTACTGCTGCCATGTTGCTGGTCGGCTCTGGCAGAGAGAGAGAGGGAAAGAGTGAAGGTTTGTTGTTTGATATTGACTTTTAAGCGAAAACCAGAGCAATACAAACTTGTTGATTTACAATTTTAATTTATGAACCGGCAAATATGTATGTATGGCAGGAAACTTAAAAAAAAATAATAGATTTTTCTTATTTTTGGCGGGAACAAAAAGGCACAATTTTCAAGTTTATTATTTGATTTTCCAAATATGGCCTGCTGTATTTTCCCGGGTTTTCCTGCTCCATCGTTAAGTCATTTTTTCATTCTTATTTATGGCATTTATTACCTTCAGAGATACACCGCCAAAAAATATCCCGTTGTGTTGCAAGCGCCAGCCGCCAACAAACATCATTTCCCTTTTCCATTTTGATTCAATAAAAAAAGCAACAACAACACAACTCACTAGGCCTAGTCATAATTAGCCATACCATCCATGATTTTGTTTTTGGTTTACTTCTTTTTCTGCTGCTACACCGTACAGTAAGTGTAAGGTTGATCGAATTCTAGAACAAGAAAAACAAACAAAAATCATCTAAAATTGGCATTTTAGAAATGCATAGCATTTCCTTTAACTTATGCTCTAATTAAAATACCAAATGTTAAATGCACTTCACACACACACACATGCACATGCACATGCTCATACACGAGTGTGCCACAAGTGTAATGGGTAAGTATGTGGTATTTAATGAGTGCCATAGATACAGATACTGTGGCGGCCTACCATTCAAGCGATGATAGCCCCCCAAATAAAAAAAGACACTTTCCGCAACACAAAAATTCATTCCCTGACACCACCCTTTCAGCGTTATAATTACCTCCCCCTCCACAAATACCCTTGGACCACTTCTCGCTAGCCACATGATGATGATAAACCAGCTGCTTTTGCTTCCATCGCCAGCCAGCGTAGCCAACGATGAAGATGATGTTGTGAATGACGACGGCGGTTTCTTGTCGCCATTAGTGTAAACAAATTTAAGGCAATACAAGAAAAGTGTGCTGCTCTCACTACATTTTCATGCGATCGACAAACCGATTTTTTTGCTGTTCTTTCGTTTTTCTTGAAAATCAAAAATATTTGATTTGTATTTTGATTTTCAGTTTTTTCATTTTTTGTTATAATTTAATTTGTTTATTTTCTATTTCACTGTTTTATATCTCTCTCTTTTCCCTTTGCAGACATCCCCTATTCCCGCTGTTGGCTCTAATATTTGAAAAATGTGAATTGGCCACATGTACGCCCAGAGAACCTGGTGTGCAAGGTGGTGATGTATGTTCGTCAGAATCGTTTAATGAAGATATTGCAATGTTTAGTAAACAGGTAAGTGTGGCAATTAAAATTAATAATAGATAATGTTTTATAAAAGAACAATTAATTTTGTGATAAATATTTGAAAAAAAAAAATCACTAAAATTGGCAGAAGAATTGAAAAAGTTCAGGCAATATGTTAAAGCAATATTGCAAAAAAAAATCCCAGAAAGAAGTTAATTTAATGAATATATGTTAAGGCAATATGTTGCAGCAACATATTTAAAAGTTACAACTCAAATAGTGAAAATAGTATGAAAAAATAAACGAAATGCTTTAAATGACACAAGTAGTTACTGAAAATAAGTCGATATTACCAAGAATTAGTTAATATATAGCATATATACTATTTCAACATGTTGCAGCAACAAAATTGTGTGTGTGTTTTTTTTTTTAATTTCAAAGTAAAATTTATATAAATATTTATCTTATATTTATGTCTATATAAAGTCTGACAATTGTATATTCCTTAAATATTTTTTTAAAGTCTATAGAAAATCAAAAAATAGAGAAAAGTCTTCTGCAACATGTTGCGGGTACAGATTTCTTATTTTTCTTTTTAAAATTATGGCATTTTTTCTATAATGGTTTAATAAGTAACTACATTAAAATTTCATTGGTGTAAATTAATTTAAAAAAAAATGGTAAAAAGTCCTCAATTATATGTTGTTCTGCAACATGTTGCCGATTAAAATGTCATAGCCCTATACCATTTTTATGCTTAAGATCATGGGAATTTTTCTTTAAGAGCTTAAATAGTACCCAATTCAATATTTTATTTCTGAAATTTTATTAAAAATAATAATAAAAAAATCCTTGTCAACATGTTGCTGCAACAAATTTATGTTGCATACCCATTTCACTTCTAAAATCAATGGAATTTTCTTTCTGCCATAATTTGAATATTTTTTAAGACTCTAAAATTATTCTATATCGATCTTCTGCAATTTGAAACATTTTGAAAATATCTTCCGCAACATGTTTCTTTAACAATATCTCGTATTTCCCCATTCGAAATCAATTTCTCTTTACAATTTCCATATTGTCTACCCTAACTTTAGATGTGTCTTTTCATTTCATAGTTTTTTTCATTGCTTAAAATCCAAATGATGAGGGCATGAAACACAGCAAAGTGAATCACTTAGTTAGTTTTGTAGAATTTGTTGTTGTTGTACCAGTTTCCTTTTGGCATATGTATGTGACTGCAGTGTGTGTGTTTGTGTACACACTCTATGCTTTAAATATCTTACAATAATGATGATCTTTATTTTCTGGCACTTCATTAATCATCGCTACAAAACAGCCAAAACGACGACGTCATTTAAAGTTTTTTTTTCTGCTGTTTTTTGGTTTTTCATTTTCTTCTTTACTATTCTTTGTATTTAATGTTTTGGCTGGGCTATTTCTTTGTGTGGAATCGACAATCGTATTAACATTCACTCTCAGAAAAAAAAAAAACGAAAAACAAGAACAAAAATTATGAAGCCACAAACAACATTACGGAATTCAACATATGATCGGGGAACATCGTTTCACCCCACCACCATCACTACCGCCTCTGCTTCGACTTGGATCATGATCATTACCCCAGCACCCTCATCGTTTGTAAGATTAACCCATTAAGTTCGGTCACAATGGCCAAATGGTTTTGATTTTGCGTCAAGTGGTGTTAATAATAATTGAGGCTGAAAAATTCTTAACACTCTTGGCAATGTGTTTGTTGTTGCTGCTCTTTGTTTGCTTTCTTTGTTAGGGCATTTTGGGGGGAGAAAGGGAATACCAGCGACAAATCTCTTCTTAGCGGCTAATGTATGGCATTATAAATACAATGTGTCTCATGAAGGAAAAAAAACGAATCTTTATGACTGACTGTTTCATATTCTGCTCCTTAGATGATGCACTAAACATGCATATGATGAGCATCATTCACGACAATGTTCCATTTAACAACGACGAAGAAGATGTTGCCCGTCTTGATGGGGATACGGACGATGGGGATGATGATGACGATGATTTTAATCTCTTGATTTCTCTCATGAATTTTAAAAATATCATTTTAAAATAAAGCATTTTTTTAGCTGCATCATTAGTAAAGCTAACACCACTCGGCTAAGGCAGAAGACAGACTGGCTGACTGACTGCCGGGCTGGCTGGCTGGCAGACCAACAATCTTTTTAAAATACATTCAAAACATTAGACGACATCGTAAAAGCATTGGCATTATTTTCTGTTGATTTCCAACAACAATGCCCAGAGATTTGTATATTTTTATAAACGAATTTGTATTCACCACAAAATCGACAGCTTTTTGAGAAGCAAACAAAATTTTTTGGTTTTTAAAAATAGCCAGAAACAACATTTTTTGATTTTATTTTTAAAATCCTAGAGAGAGAGAGTGACCGAGAGAGAGAGGAAAATGTTGCCTTCCCAAAAAATTGGCAATTAATTTATTAGATTTTTCGTTTGGGCCGCATGGAAATTTGTTGGCAGAAGTTGATAAATTTCATAAACTGTCACAATTTTCAATGATGCCGAAATAAAATCATCAGTTTCCTTTTTGGCTTGCTGGGCCGAAGGGGGGATGAATTGGAGGAAAGGGACATCTCTATGCTAAATGCAAACAAAACATTATAATGTTTTTAAAAACAGATGAAATTTATGTGGCAAAAAAATATCCACTAAAAAAGCCTTGCCAAGTGTTTTTATGGGCATGCCAAGAAAAAAAAGAAGGAAAATCACAAAAAAAAAAAAAAAACGCCAAAAGAAATTAAAAGTAACCAAAGTACAAGTGGAGAAATCCAACAGCATTTAATGTCTGCTGGCTGATGCCTGTTTATGTTGTGGCCTGTGGCCCTCAATGTTGATGATGAGGTGCCTGAAATGATGGTTTATTTAATGCATTTTTTCGCGCGAGCCCATACATCTTGGCAGCTTCTTCGAAACTCTTTGGGAGTGAGTACTCGCTACAAAATATTTCAAAATTTTTCCAAAAACAAAAAAAATGCAACTTTAATGGGAAGACAGTTCAGTTAGCCAGTCACTTTGGCATTGGCAACTTCATAAAAATCATGATCATCATCTGTTTAATGCACATCAAGCCAATTTTGGGACACCCTGTTTGTTTACACTTAGTCTTGGGATGCATACATGTCTGGTGAGTGAGGAATATGGTCGTGGAATGCAGTTTAATATTTCCAAAAATAATATCATAAATTATTTAAATGACAAGATCATAACCATATTTTTCACCCTCCACATCTCTCTCTTCATACGACACCCACTTCCCCCTGAAAAAAAATTGTTTCTTCTTATTATTGTTATTCTTTTTTGGACACAATCAAATATAATTAGAAGAAGAGCTGCAACAACAATTCTTGTATTTTAAAACATATTTAATACATCTGGTTTGGCAGTTAAATTAGGAAACCCTCCACTTGAATATGAAGCCCGCTTCTTGTTGTTTTTGCATTTGCTTAATTTGTCTGGTTGTCTGTCTGACTGTCTGTGTGTGTGTCTCTCTGTGTCTTAAGTCTCGTTTATTAATGTAGCCTGTAGTCTCTGGTTCTTGCTGATCGTTTAACACAGTTTTTAAAGAAATTATAAAAAAAAAACAGAAAAAAATCTTCTCGCGCCAAGTGCTAAACATATGGTTATGTCATAAAAATAACAAGCCAAGCCAGTTAGGCCAGGCACATGGGGACAAATGGACGGACCCTCACAGATGAGGAGTTGAGTAAAAAAATAAGAAAAAAAAATACAATAGATAATCTTTACAGTAATTTGAGATTTTTTAGCTGGGATATTTCTTCTGAAAAATTAATTCTTGGGAAATTAAAAAAAAACATATTGCAATAATAAAAAAATAAATATAACTGAAAATAAGAAATTCAAGTGGCAATAGTATTACATATTTTGGGAAATTAAAATATTGGAAATTATGTTTATCAAAATTTATCGATAGATAAAGAATTGGAGAGATTTTCGGGGTTCATATTGAATTTGTATATCAATGAAGTTTAAGGAAATTAAAATATTGGAAATTATGTTTATCAAAATTTATCGATAGATAAAGAATTGGAGAGATTTTCGGGGTTCATATTGAATTTGTATATCAATGAAGTTTAATTTTTAAAATAAAATCTCAAATCACAATTTTTTGTAGTTAATTATTAATTCTGAAAAGTTCTCATTATCATATATAATTGAAATGCAAGAATTGATTCTTTTTAATTTTTTTCCAAACTGCAATAAATCGTTAATTCTTAAAATTACTCATCGATATATTTCGGTAACTGAGATATTGAAAATAACTTTCATTTGAAATATTTCCCCAAATATAGGTCAAAATCAAGGCAGTTATTTTTGCTGTGAAATGTTCTGAAGAATTTGCTTCTTCTTCTTTTTCAATTAAACGAAATTTATCGATTGTTTTTGTTTTTTTTTTTTTTTTTTTTTTAATTTTCCTAAATCACATTGTGAATTATAAGGCAATAATTTTGCTTTGTAGTTCTATTTTATTTTATTTTATTTTATTTTTTTTCTCCCTCAAATTAACAATCAATCTTTGTTCTTTATTTCTCAATGTTGCAACAATTTTAAATTGGATTTTCTCATTAACATTCCTTTTGTTGATTTGTTTGGTTTTTGATTTTTTCGGCTTTAAGCAAAGAAAAGAACAACCCAAAATTTAGTATTTTCAAAATGTTATAAGGTCGTAGAGAACATTTATATAAATTTCAACAGAAATTGAGTTAAAAAAAATTTAAAAAAAAAACAAATGTGGATTTATTTCGGTTTTGCCTTTAAAGCAGGTACCATCATCATCAGGCAGGCATTCACACAAATCTTTATTTGTTGAAGGCATGGAAGGGAGAGGGGAGAGCAACACACAAATGATCATCACATTGTGATCGTTTCGTTTAATGCGTTGCGTTTCCACATTCCTCCTTTGGCCGAAAGGTTTTAATCTCTTTTGTGTTTAAGCAACAATTTCTTTGTCCGTTTCGGATTTG